AATTGCGAGGATAATGGATGCGAGGGAGAGAGAGAAAGAAAATTAGCTATTGGATCGTAAAGATCCATCTCCCGCTGGAATATGTAGAATATTGCGTTAAACCTCATTACCCGGCAAAAATCTGCATGACGTGCTCGGCTCGGCCAAAGAAGAAGAAGCGAGCTCTAGAAATTGCGCTCTCTATACCGAATCCCTACGTATATATACGCTTGGGCTCTTTTTCTTCTCCTGTGCATCTCGCGCTCGTATAACTCGGTCGAGTATCGTATATAGTCGCTCGACTCTCTTTCGTATGCAGTTTTGCGCGTCGTTGATTAAAAACGTTAAAGTCAAGTGCGAAAACGTTGGGTGCCGTGCCGTGGCGCGCACCAAGGGATATTTTACGAGGCGCGCTATCGCATATACATATACCCTCGTGCGCATTATTTAATTTTGAAAAAATTTTGAAAAAACCTGCTGAATATATTGTTAGCCAAGTGCTCATACTCTGTAATGCCGTAGCTGAGAATGCGCATAAATTATATTCATCGTGTCATGAATTATGTAACTTTAAAAAAGCTTTCATCGTCTTCTTCCTCTCTCGTCCTTTTTCCCCTCTAGAGACTACGTAATGCATGTATATTTCGCCAGTTTTTTTTCCCATCGAAGGGACCTCGCGCTCAAATATTTTATGGCTATTTACAGATAAACATGATGTAAAATAATGACAGTCGACAAGAGTCCAATGATTAAACTCATTGCTGCGCGCTCGAAAAATCCTTTAGCCGCACAGCCACGCCGTGCAAAATTCATTCGCATTTCCGCTAATTAATACACTGTTATAGTGCTCTCGCATATTAATATTTATGATCAAAGTATGATTAAATTAATTTGGAAAAACAATACGCGTTACCGGGTATAAAAAAGCACGAATGTCAATGTTGCTAACGAAAAGCTACACGTTAATTAAAGTTGTGCGTTAATTAATGGATTTAGCGATGGAGCTTTTGTTTTATAGATATATATGCGTGTAACGTATTTTTTGAAGTAACAATAACAACAATGACAATAAGTGTGTGTATGTGCATAATAAAGTTTACATGACATATCCGTTCCGTAGCACTTTCAAATATCATGCTTATGGAATATCAGTGAGAGGCGTGCGTTTGTAAATCACGATATTCTAGTCCGTGCATCCTCTTCTCGCGGCGAACAAAAGAATAGAGCAGAATGAATAGCAATGGGGATGCTATACGGAGGCGCTTTAGTTCGTAAAAATGGTAATGCTATCGAAAAGGAGAAAGAAGGAAGGCCAAAACAAGGGGACAATAGCTTTATGATGTGGTGCAAATGAAACGCGGCGTATAGGTAGCGAAACCGCGAATGCGGCCTAAGATCAAAAGGTCAAGATATATCGGCTTAATATGCCGCGAGGTGCAATAGCTGCAGCTGCGCGATTCCGCGCGTAATAGCTCCATCTGATTATCAAGACAAAGCAGCAACACTGCTCTGAATCGCACGACAATGGTTCTCACGCTGATTAATTTAATACGGCGTATCACGGCCAGGGCGTTAATTAGCGGGCGTGCCAGCCATACTTCTCCGCTCTCGCGCTCGCAGCTATGCCGCGACTGGCCTCGGAGCCGTACAATTTTCAATTTTCAAGCTCGAGCCGCGCGCTGCGAGGTTTGCTGATTGAATAGAGAGTAGAAACTGTCAGGACCAATCGGCCGGCCGCGGTGCGCTTAACAAGCTGGCAGCGGCGAAAAGAATTGAATTTTGAACCGAGTGCGCGCGCGACAGAGAGAGAGAGAGAGAGAGAGAGAAAGCTGCGACGTGACGCGTGCCCCTGTGTCCACGCGGCCGAGCGTGCGAAGCTAGATCGATCCTGCCAAAAACATCACGTCGGGCGTGTCCGCGTTAACGGCTACGGACTACGTCCCTCCGCCCCGCGAGCTGCCTTCTGCAATTTTATGCAGTATTTCATCCGGGCGCTTCGTCGCTGGTGCGCGCGCCGAAATCGAAATTGACATTGAAAAATTGCAGGAGAGCAGCGCCGAGCCGTAATCTCGTTTGTTTGCAAAGAATTTCCGGCGGCGGCGGCGGCGACGGACACGCGCGCGATGCGACGTTCGCGCCAGCGACTCCTCGTCGCTCGCATATAGCTGCGTCACCGCTGCTTTTCCGCCTGGACGCCGCTGCTTAATGAGCGCCCTCTGCTGATTTATTGATCTCTGCGCTCGCGTTTATCGAAGCTTGCCTTTGTCGTATCGTTCCGCGAGCGGCTATATTCGCCATTCCCACTGAAAAGCCGATATAAGTTGCGTAGTCACGTCACATCCCCACTTCGCGTGTCACCGTAATAAGCGGAAGCATCGCTCGCCAAACTTTTCGCGATATTAAAAATCTGTTGTTGTTTGTTTGGCGCTCATTAAAGAGAACGAAAGTACGAGGGACAAGCAATAAAAGGCAAAAGTTGCAAGCTTTGCACCCTAATAAAATGTAGTATTCATCCATTCACGGATTCTACAAGGTGACTATTAAATTTGTCCAAACGCGAAAGAGGGTTGGGAAGTTGCATTATTTGCTCGCTACACCGGTCGTCTGGAAAATCGAGAATCGAAGCAAATCGAAGCATTGCAAATAAAGGAGAAAATAAAGGAGGGAATGGAAAAGCTGGAGAAAAGCAGGAGGAAAACAGAAAGAAATAAAATAAATGATACGCACGTATGCGTTAGACGGCAGATGCTCGTGGGTGTGCGCGCCGACGATTACGTCCGGGGGCAGGGATCGGCGCGGGGCTTGTTTCATAAGCTGCCGAGATAACCTTATTCCCGTTCTGAAGCGCGAGCGCAAAGAGAAATATAAAGGTCGTTGCGTTGCGCGCTTTATTATGCAGAGGCGCGATATGAATGATAGAGTAGAAAAGAATTGCCTCCGAAGAGCTATACTGATTTTCTCTTACGGAGTGCTGCACGTGAGGCTCATATGTATACCCCACATCTCTTTTTTTACGGAGGCGTAATAACTCAGCGCACTCGCGCTCTCTCGAGAATGATAAACCTTCCCGCGCGCAGTAGACGCTTTGTTCCGTGTCTTCGTTTCGCAAACGGATAATTAAGAGTGATTTGTTTGTCGCGGTCTACCTTGCGTGCCTTCGGATTATCGTACTATCGGTGCGCCAAAGTGCGGCGCCATCCGAAAAGCTCGAAATCTCATTTATCTGGCCGTCATCGCGATCGTCATCGTAATCATTAGAAGTACGTAATGAAATAGCAGGCTGGTTTCGCAACTCGCTGATTAATTGCGGCTGCTGCTCGCAAGCGTTGTAAATCCAAACAAATAATCGACCGAACAAGCGGCTCTCCGGTGATTCAGTGTTTAATAAGCGAAATTGTTGAAATACGACTGGAAGGCACACTCGGCTGGCGGCTAATGGTCGACTGATAAACGGCGCCGTGGTTAATGTACAAAGCGCGCGGGCTCTTTTGAAAAGGAGAAACAATCGAGTATGATCGACGCGATAAGGTCGCTGCGTCGCTGAATAATTGGAGCGCCGGCATAGCGCTCGAGCACCGCGGCCGCGACTACGGAAAAATCCGTCTTTCGACGAGGCCGTTACCGCGGTTGACATTGAAGAGTAACGGGATTACCGCTGTAGATTCGCTTGTACCGCGACATAGCTCTAAGTACTCCCACGTGCCAGCTCATTTGCCGGTGGAAAGAGAAACCAAGCGTCCCGCTGTGTCTGTGTGCGCACGTGGCCTTTGTACTTGCAACGAGAAACTGTATATGCCGAGAAAGACCGAGAGGCGAGGGGCGCGTCCGTAATCGCATTGCAAACTTGAATCTGGCACCTCTCGTAGTCGAGCGAGCGCGCACGTCCAAGTCGCCTTGTCCGTACTGCTAAGTTTCGCTCCTCTCGTCGCTCTCTTTCTTGCTCCGCCTAAGAAAGTGCCGAGCAGAGGCTAACGCAGCTGGCGAAGCCTCTCGGCTACGGTAAGGCTTCCGAAAGCTCGGGCGCGCAACGAGCGCGAGCGCGTGAACTTCAACTTGGGCCAGGGCCGGAAACCCCAACGTATATTTACCCTTGCTACGGATAAGCTTTCGCGAGGATTACACCCTAGCTCTCTATTATTCATGTATACTCGCAAGCGATCACGATAATCCACTTTTTCTCCTTCCGATTTCCTCCGATCGACCTTCCTTCTTTCTTTTCTCATCTCCCTAGTTGGATTAAAGAGAATTAACGGCAGACGCGCACATATAAAAAAAACCTCCCTGTAGGCAGATTTTGACATTTCCCTGGGGTACGCCGCTCGCGTGATACCGCAGCTCGTACGACCTTACGTAAACATTTAATAGCACGCGCGGTATCGTCTAGACAAGACCAACGGGATTATTCGTCCAATTCCAATCCGATTACTCATATACACTCCTTGCCACATTTTTTTACACGCGGATTTTCTCTAATTAGATATTTTCGATGTCGCTGCGGCTTTCATTGTCGACTATACGTGCCACATTGTCGGCAGTGACGTTGCGTTTTCGTTTTTCAACACTCGTATTTCAATGCGACCTTGTCGATAAAATCGGAAATATTGGATGCAGTCTGTAAGCTGTATCGAATAACATTAGACACCTAATTAGTAGTATTGAAATCAATTGATAATGTGAATTGCTTGTTGGCAGGCACATTAGTTGTACAAACGTTCCACTAACAGCGTGCAGGATAATAAAGAAACGTGACTTTAGATCTTCCAACGAACCTCGATTTATTCATCTGTGATTATGGCCTCAAAGGACAGGCGTCGATAATCGCTGATCTATGTAAATAGGATGCGGGTCATTTCACTGATTAAGCATGTGCGAGTGCATGTTCCTGTCAGGCGGGCTTATATGTTTAAGCGTCAGGTGTTATCAAGTTATTAAAATAGAAGTGCCAACCGTGCATTGAAAATATGAAGGCAACACGCGTAACAGTTGTATGATGAAAAAAATTTTTTTTTCTCAATTTACAGGCAATGGACAATGCGTTTGGTGCGTGACACGGGATTATTTTCGAAGGATGCAGTGTTCGAGGGTGCGGAGGGGCCAATCGATTTCGACGCAAGCCATTCGTACACCGGCACCATACTCGGTAAGTTTTGTAATTATGAAGCCAGCTGGCTGATAAAAGTATGGTTTTAGTTCAGCCTCGCTCTCTCTCTCTCTCTCTCTCTCTCTCTCTCGCGCGCGCGCGGGCCGTCAGAATCAATAAAAAATGCAGATATGCAGCGGGTATCCAGAATAGTGTATTTAGCCTTGTGTGTTAAAGGCTCATTTGAATCGCAAAAGAGCGCTTAATAAAACTTGTAAATGAAGGCGATCGGTACTTGAAAAAAGGCGAGTTTCATGGGCACTAGTCGTTTTTCGGGGGGGGGGGGGGGGGGTATACACAATTTCAATGAAATCTCACGTGACGAGCAGAGGACGGCAAGACTTTTAAGACCGCGCGCGAGTGGTATTTCCATAATCAGCATAGCAGTACGCTACAGCGTATAGCTGCGCGAAAGCGCACTGCGGGGATTGCAGCTCCTCGCTCGTTAAATGCGTCCCAGTTATCGCTCAACTGCATAGCTTGCGCGCGACGAAATTCTCTCTTGGCTCGGGCTTCACTCGCTTTTCATCGCTCGACAGAGATAACCTTTCAGAAGCTCATTCATCACGCTGTAACTAGTCTAACGAGATCTAACGTTATGCTACTTTTCGCTACGCGCTCCGACAAGGCCTGCGGGCGCTTAAACCCTACCAGTCTTCCACCTTGTTAGTATTAGTTTCCTAAGCTTCTTCTTCGTCTTTTTCTTTTTCTTCGCAACTCCGATAGAAGCTTCGTTTCTTCAATTTCAAATTCAGTATAAATAACCTCGCTTCTTTTCAAATGTTGAGTCCAAATCGAAAGCAGAGTCTCGAAGCCTTTCCGTATTAATGCAAATCTGGCCTATCCTAAATCCCAAGTGTTGGAATTATGAATGCACCTATTCGGAAAGCTCTTCTTGGTCATTAAACCGGTAAATTGAAGCGTGTTCAATCGGCTTCTCATCCGCGTGCGCTCATTCACCAAAAATAATCCTTCGCGTAAATTAGCGTGAAATTCGCGTGCAGCGCGCTCCCCCGCCCGTATACAAGCTCGACAATACTAGCATCGGTTTAATTCCCCGCGATTGATTTCAGGTAGGGAGCTTACGGCTTGGCAAAAAGCGTACATCGCTCGGGCAGACTTAAAGCCTGCAATCTGGACTTACAGCCAGCATTGTACTGCGTTCTGCTCCGACGGAAAACAGGCAGCTCGTGTGTCTCTTCTGCCCCCTCCTCCCTTCCGTCCTTGCTCCGCCTTGTCGACTCGCTTCATTAGACCGAAGTTATGGAGCTGCGTGGTAATACGGATCCATCATATCTCGCGCTCTCTCTCTCTTTCTCTCTCGCGCGCGCCCGCGCGACACGTGCTCTGCTACAACAACTTGCTTTTCATCTGTTATACGAACTTTCGGCTCCACTCATCAATTTCCCTCTTCGACCTTACCCTCCGAGAAACAGCACGAGAGAAAGAGAGCCGTATATTGCCGAGGCATTTTTTTCATCAGCTCGCGGAAGCCGTATCTGAAGCGAGTCACTGCGAGGTTGCTCGTTGACTGGTCGCCCTACTGCTATCCATCCGCAGTTTCCGATGAATAATATACGAAGTGGCTAATGAATGTTTTTCGGAACGACGACCCAACAACTTTTTTCTTTCTTTCTTCCGCTCGACTAGCAGTGATTAGTCCGCTAAATGAATTTTACATCTCGATACAAAAAGAAGAAAACTACGTTGACTCTTGTCTGTTCGTTTTCCGTTAAATGCAAACTATTATATTTCCGATTAAATTCATCTCGAAAACGGGCCGGAGAAAAAATACATTCGCTTGAAAGAAGAAGCATTTGAAGACGGCAGAGTACAAAGGATCGAGATAAATAAGAAAGATACATTTTTTTTATAAGCGGCAGTCGGAGTTGGCTCTACCCCGAGGCAAAGAAAACGGCGAACTAACCGACTTTGGCTCGATCCCGCCCCATAATTAAATGGCCTTTCAAACTTTCCTCTTAGATCATTAATTTTCTTAGATACTTTTCTCTTGTTTCCCTTTGCCAAAGACAAAGTTCGGAGATCTAAGCTAATACGGCGCCCTCGTCGATCGGTCAAGCAAAATAATCGATTATCTCGCGAGAATATACGACGAGCCGCGAGCTCTCGAGCGATCAAAATGAAAGAGAGGCGCGCGTCCATACAGAGCAGGCGAACGCGTGCATCGCGGCTGAAATAAAATTGCGCCCGAGGCGGACCGCGTCGCGCGCGTGTGTTGCACGCGCGAGAGAAAACAGCGGACTATTATACAGCTGGGCCTGGGAAACGAGTGTTAAATATTCCAAGCGCGCGCGCGCGTGCTCGCGCACAAGAGAGTTCCGCTGGCGGGGCTTCGCCTTTTTTTTCTCTTTTGCTTTCGGCGAAAAAGCTGCGGTAGAAAAGCGCGCTGCTCCAGCCGGAGATTCGCGCCTCGGTCATCCGGAAAGACCGAGCGTGATTTTCATCCGCGAGCCTCGTCGCGCGGCCGAGTTTCATTAATTTATTGCCGCAACGACTGCGACGACGACGAATCGCGTAGCAAAGAGGAATCCAAGCCCGCATTATCCTCTTATTCCGCAGTTGCGTTACAAACAGGACGCTCTGCACTTTTAAACACAGCACTTGCTTAGATCTGCACTGTGCACTTCTCATTGTGGCTGATATACCAATTGAACCCTGGGCGGGGCTCGAGGATTCGCCTCTTTCTGAATTAAATGGAAAGCTCAAAAAGCTTGCGCGAGTCGCGATAGAGAGCTCAGGCAGGACCAAAAGAACCGTAAGAAGGGCAACCGAGTATAATCTTTCTTTTTTTTTCACTTTTGAGTACCGAGGAAAAAATAGCATAGACAGTGATATTATTTAAGGAAAGAGAAATGCAGAGCCGCGCGGAGAAAAGAGCACGGAGCTCTGGGATTTTAGTAATGAGAGTGAAGCTCCGGGCGATTATTAAAGGTTGAGGCAATTCTCAGCTCTTTCCGACTGCAAATAAAAATACCGGACGGATTTTGAAAATTGAATAATCACCCTGTGACTGTTTATCTACCCTCTCTTTGCCTCTTTACATTCATTGGTTGACCTTTGCTTAAGTGGAAAAACGTTTCGATTGGATTTGGCAAAAACACCAAATCGTTCGTAAATGATTATTCCGACACATTTATATATTTCATTTTAACGACGATGCAAAGAGTGATAACGCAATTGACATAATGAGAAGAGAAAAAGTTGGATAATTAATAGGTATAATGAAGGAGCAATAAAAGCAGCTGAGAGGGAAGAGGCCTCATTAAAATGTTAATCGCGTGCTGGCTCGGCGCTCGCTCGAGAGCAAAGATTTACGTCTCGGTAAATGAATCACAGTTCGCACCTTGCTTCCGTCTCTCCATCAGCAGAATTTCGGCAAGCTTCCAAGTGGTGTTGGCGTTGGTGGCTCGACAATGCAATTGCCCCTCGCTAGGCTAGGGAGAGAAAGAGAGAGAGTGACGAAGAGTAGGGGGGGGGCGAGGGGGAAAAGGGTAGAAGGCGTCGGAGACGTGCACAAATAACGGACGGCTGACTTTTACGCCCCTTTGTTTCGGCAGCTCTCGTGATTGCGCGCCGCCGTCTCGTCTGACCAATCCTCGACTGCTACTACTTGCTCTTTCTCTCGGTGTAGGAGGGTGGCGGCTCGAGCGCTCTGATCGATGCCACCACGGCGGCAATTGCCAAACATTCTTCATCGAATTTAATCTCGTTGATTTACGTGACCCGAAAGTGAAGCGAGGCGCGCTTGCGAGCGCCTGCAGCTAACGGGGAAATACAAGAGGACAAGAATGCGAGTGGCGCCTCTCTGCTGTACTGCCGCGGCGGCGGTAGCAGCGACGACGGAATATTTGAGGAAGCCAAAGAGCCGCCGCGCCAGTGACTGAGTGCGAGTAAGAGAGAGAGAATAGACTTTGTCTGCCAAATATTTTCGCGTTTAGGCTGTATACTGTTTCGAGGGCACTTTGTAGCTGGAAATTGGCTGCCACCGCACGGCCCAGGAATGCTCTTCAATCCTTCCTGTTTACCCGTCGGCTTTGCCTTACCAGCCCGCCTCTATCGATTAGCTTCCCTTTTCCAGCCGCATATGCACTCGAACGATCGCGTATAATTAATTGAATCGTCGCAGCGGCGCTTATACTCCGCTGTACACTGACTCTCGCTTACAGTCGCCACTCGAGATCGTCTTGCGCTGTGCGACAACTTTTGGAGGTCGACTCAGACGTAGGCAGCTCGCGCGCTCCTGCTCCATTGGAATGGACGAGGGCATCACTCTAATCATTCTCAGACTCGATTTTGGGGGACATACGCCAAGGTTGCCCGACGTGGAACAAGAAAATAGGCACTTTCCCGAGGTTACATGCCCTCGACTGGAGGAGACCGGAGCGAGCAGTTAGCTACGTCTTACGAGCCTCCAGTCATTATTCTTCTGCGGGGACAAGGGGCAGGCCACCTTTTCCCATCGCATATCTCTCGAGCGTAGATATCTCAACTTGAAGCTGGCACACGGCAGCGCGCGTCGCCTTATTTGCCCGATTAACCTCGTTACAAACTTTGCAAAATTGCGGCGGAGTCGACTTAATTAAACGGCATGTACGGCGAATGCGATCCCCCAAGCCACTTTCGTTCATTCGGGAGTTATTTATCGTGTCGCGTACGTAGTCGCGAGTAGCGAATATAGTTGTCTCTCGATTGGTACGGTCGAGCGCCCGGGCGGGCCGATCGCGATTCAGCCGTCTGCCGACTTGCAGTCTTTGCTCGAGTCCCGCGCATCGGTGATTGCGCGCGTGCACGCAAAGAGGAGGCAAAGCTCTCGCGTGCCGACCATAATAAAGCGCGCGGCTTTAATTCGAAAGCGAGTCGACTGGCGGAGGCGCGCCTCGGCGCCGAGCAGTTGCGCAGCTTTCTCGTCGGCTAGACGAAGCCGTTAAAGGCTAAAAGAGAGGCGCAGGCCCGCGGCATTCCGTGAGCACGGGCGCACG